CTTCCCAAGCCCCTGATAACCTCTACTTGGGTCTCTATGAATTTGCCTCTTCTAGGTACCCCAGATAAGTGGAATCATACACTATTTGTCCTTTTGTATCTGGCTTATTTCACTTAGCATAATGTTTTGTTAAAACAATTTTTTTTGTTTACTGTGGTAAAATAAACATAACATAAAATTTACTGTTTTAACCATTTTTAAGTGTACAGTTCACTGACATTAAGTACATTCACACGGTTATGTGTCCATCACCACCATCCTTCTCTACAACTTTTTCATCTTTGCAAACTGAAACTACCCATTAAACAGTAACTCCCCAGTGCCCTCCTCCTCCCAGCCTCTGGTAATCTGTTCTCCTTTGTGTCTCTATGAATTTGACTGTTCTAGAGGCCACATATAGATGAAATCATACAATATTTGTTCTTTTGTATCTGACTTATTTCACTTAGAATAATGTCTTCAGGGATCATCCATGTTGTAGCATGTATCAGGATTTCACTCCTTTTAAGGCTGAATAATATTCCATGATATATGTATACCACATTTTGTTCATCTGTTCGTCAGTGGTCACCTGGGTTGTTTCCAGCTTTTAGCTATTGTGAACAGTGCTGCAGTGAACTTTGGTACACAAATGCCTGTTTGAGTCCTTGTTTTCAGTTCATTTGGATATATACCTAGGAGTGGAATTGCTGGGTCATGTGGTAATTATAATTAGCTTTTTGAAGAACCTCCAACTGTTTTCCATAGCAGCAGTACCTTTTTACATTCCCACCAGCAATGAATGAGGGTTCTGATTTCTTCATGCAACACTTACTATTTTTCTTCTTTTCGATTTAGCCATCCTAGTAGGTATAAAGTGGTATCTTGTGGTTCAGTTTGCATCTCCCTAATGACTAATGATGCTAAACATCTTTTCATGTACTTATTGGTCCTCTGTGTATCTTCTTGAGAGAAACATCTATTCAGTTTTTTTCCCCATTTTTAAATAAAATTGTTTGTCTTTTTGTTAAGTTAGATTTCTTTATATATTCTGTATATTAATTCTGATTAGATATATGACTTGGAAATATTTTCTCCCATACTGTAGGTTGTCTTTTCACTTTCTTGATAATGTCCTTTGATGTATGAAAGTTTTAAATTTTGATGGAGTAAGTCCTTCCTTATCGGTAGTTACTTTAAATGTAAATGGATTAAACTCTTCAATCAAAAGACAGATTGGCAGAAGGATAAAAATACATAATTAACTATATGCTGTCTACAGGAGACTCAGATTAGATTCAAAGACACTAACAGATTGAAAGTGAAAGGATGGAAACATTCCATGCAAATAGTAACAAAATGAGAGTAGAGGTGGCTAATATTAGATGAAAGAGATGTTAATATTAGATGAAAGAGATACTAAATTTAAAAAGGCTTTTAACGAGCAATTTTAGTTTTACAAGATGAAAATAGTTCTGAAGATGAATGGTGCTGATGGTTGCACCGTTTTACATTCCCACCAAGAGCACACAGGGTTCTTAAAGCTTCAGATCCTCATCAGCACTTGTTATTTTCTGAGTTTTTTGATGATAGACATCCTAATGGTATGAGGTGGTATCTCATGGTTTTGATTTACATTTCTCCAGTGACTACTGATGTTGAGCATCTTTTCATACGCTTCTTGGCCATTTGTGTATCATCTTCAGAGAAATGTGTGTTCAGCTCCTTAGCTCATTTTATATTCAGGTTATTTATTGTGTTTTGTCATTGAATTTTAGGAGTTCTTTATATATTCTGAATATTAATCCCTTATGATTTACATATCTTTTCTCTTGTTTTATAGGTTGTCTTTTCACTCTGTTGATTTTGTCTTTTGATGCATAAAAGTTTTTCAGTTTGATATGATCCTATTTGTCAATTTTTGCTTTTGGGATCATATCCAAGAAAGTATCACCAAATCTAATGTCATAAAGGCTTTTCTCCTATATTTTTCTTCTGAGAGTTTTACAGTTTCAGGTCTTGTGGTTAGATCTTTAATTCATTATGAGTTAATTTTTATATGATGTAAGGTAAATGTCCATCTTCATTCTTTTGCATGTGGATATTCAGTTTTCCTGGTACCGTTTGTTGAAGAGGCTGTCCTTTCCCTACTGAGTGGTCCTGGCACTCTTGTCGAAGATCATTTGACTGTACATAGTATATGCAAGGATAGTTGTGTGTGTGATATTTTGGAACTTACTTTCCTCCTATTTATATAATCCTAAGATTCAGCCATATGGTGTCATTCTAGTAAGTGGCCACATTTGAATAACCACCATCTAGGACATCATAGTATCCTGGACCCTCTTCTTGTACCTCTCCCAATCACTGCTTCCTTCCTCACTTCCAGAGGTACCTGCTCTATTGACTTTAACACCGTAGATTTGTTTTGCCTATTTTTTAACTTTTTACAAATGAATGTCAAAGTATATATTGTTTTGTGTCTGACATCTGTGGTTCAGTGTATTATATTCTTTCGCCTTCCGCATATTACAGTGGCCCAATCTTTTTCACTGCTGATTAGGATTTCACTGTATGATTATACCTCAGTTTACTCATATTCTCCTTCTGAACATTAGGTTATTTCAAGGTTAGGGTCGTAATGAATAATGATGCTGTGATCATTTGTGTGTGTGTGTGTAAGTTTACATATCTACACATTTCTCGGGCTTAAACTTATGGACTTTGATTTTTTTTTAATTGAAATTTTTATATATATCTAGATTCACATCCAGTTGTAAAAGAAATAATAGATCACTTGTACCTTTTATTCATTTCCCTCTAGTGGTAAACTTTTGCAAAACTGTAGTATAATATTACAATCAGGATATTGACATTGATGCAATTCACAGATATTATTTTGACTTCCCCAGTTTTACTTCCTAAAACTGATTTTAAGAAGAAAACAGGATGGTTTAATTTGTTGAGTCAAGAGTCATTTGTTCTTGATTACAGTACTCAACATGCAAATTACATTTATCTTTTGATATGGAAATTGCGCCCTGCCACTTCCCTGGGACACTTAATTTAGACAGAATTATTCCTGGGCAACCATTATCTATATATCTGCCAGGAATTGCCCTCCATTCTTTCTTAGAACAATATATAAACTCACTTATCCAGAATAACTGGATCTTTAGTGCAGGGATGTTTACATACAGTACAAAACTGTTGACTTTTTTCATTGGATTTGCTATATTTATATTCTAAGCTCCAAATCAAGAATTTCCTATTATTTAACTCATCTTTGATCATCCTGAAGGCACTTGAGAATTCAGCGGTGTCTCAGGGACATCAGTTTTTCCTGGACAGTATTAAGAGATGTAGAAGGTTTGCTATGTCTGTTCTGGCCTTGAGTATTCACTCTGAAAAAGAATTTATTTAAAGAAAGTTTTGACACATTTGCTTTTTATGTTATTCTGTAGGCTCAAAATGCACAGTACAGGGAGATTTGTTTTGCTCATACATAGTTTCTAAATTTTCAGTAATGAAAATTATTACTTTTGTAAAGGAAGTTATAAAAATACTAGCACATAAATTAAATATAAAAATACAGGGTATTTGGATCCCAAGAAAACAGGAGTTTACTGTGGTCTAGAAGTCAGGCTGATTGCACATGATAATTAGTTATAATTGGCAGTGTTTCTTCCAAAGGTTGAATTTTTGCTAAGTTTTTATATTTTATCACTAGCTTGAGTTTTCCCCTTTATCTGCCTTTCATTTCTACAGTCACCAGAAGGAAATTTTAAAACATTTTAAAAATAGCTCTTTCCTTATAAGTCACCCAGCACACAGACCTCATTTCTTCTAGTTTCAAACATAAAAGAGAACCTGGCTTAGATAAGAATGATCCTTGTTGCATGCCCACCAGATCATACATTATCCTTTTTATTCTGTGAGTCTCTAGTGCACATGAAAGATCCAGAATTAAGGACTACTCAAGAGTTCATAACAGAGCTAAATGGCTGGTTGGCCTTCAAAAATAGAGGTCTGTAATTCATTTTTGAACATGCCTTCAAAGTGGAGGTGTTTGGCCATGAACTCCTCTTTGACATCATCTAGTGTCCACTGGAGATCCATTAGCTCAAAAATTTTTCACTTTGTCTTGAAAGCTTTGTTGATACCTGTAGGCATGGCCATGGCTAGTCCAGTCATCGCCATGGCTGGTCCAGTCATCTGTGCCTGCATCATTCCTGATTGGTCATTCGCATTACCTTGGCCCAGAACCAGAGAGTAAATGCTCTGAAACCCAAGTACATAGCAGAAGTACCAGGATGTAAAACTCACCAAGATGCAGCTATTGTGAGTAGTTCAATTCCTTGCTGTAGCATAGGCTTAAAATAGATTAATTAGAAATAGGACTTTGTAACAAAGCCTGAGAAAGTCATGTTGATCCATCTACCAATAAGAATCATAGGGAGGACTTTGTGACATTCGCTTTCATTGTGTCTGTAAGCATAGTGGGATCAGTCAGAAGGTGGTACTGTTTTCCCTTTATTTTTTTTTTTTTTGAAAAATCCGTCCTCTGGATTGTTGAGGTAATAGTTTCATGTCAAGGACTGTTTGGGAATATAATTTCCATTTTCCTTGAGGACTATGCTTTGAATTAGGACTTAACTAATTCAGATATTTGCTCCTGGGTGAGATTCTTGTCACTCTGCAGTATGATGGACACCTGTTGGTAGATCATGCCTGCAAAGAAGGTGATGATAAAGATGGGCTAGACCAGCCAGAGGCTCGTGTTGGAATCCAGCAGCAGCTTCTGTAGTCTTCACTGAGAGCCAGGCTGGCCAGGGTCACAGGGCTTCTCCTCCCTGGGGTGCTGGGATTCTCCTCAGGGGCTTCTCCTGCCCCACAGTCGGCATTGTCCTGGTTCAGGGCTGGCCTGGGCTCTGCGGCAGCTTCAGTCATTCATGCATTGCCTCTGGCTGGAGTGCCATTTGATTCTAAATAATATCTGAAGTTTATAGAGCTCTAGAACAGTGCTTCCTTCAGCAGCACATATACTAAAATTGGAACGATACAGAGAAGATTAACGTGGCTGCTGCACAAAGATGACACACAAATTCGTGAAGTGTCCCATACTTTTTTCAAGTGCACTTGGAATATTCTCTAGGATAGATTACATACTTGGACACACAGCAGGCCGCAACAAATTTAGGAGGATAGAAATTATTTCAAGCATCTTTTCTGACCCAACAGCATCAAACTGGAAAGAAACCACAGAAACAGAAATGAGAAAAAAACAATTGCATGGAGACTAAACAGTGTGCTACTGAAAATCCAGTGGGTCAGTGATAGAATCAAAGAGGAAATGAAAAAATACCTTGAGACAAATGACATTGAAAACACAGCCACGCAAAATCTATGGGATGCAAAAGTGCAAATGGGAGGAAAGTTCATGGTGATACCTTCCTCAAAAAAAAAAACCAGAAAAATCTCAAATAAACCACCTAACCTACCACCTAAAAGAATTAGAAAAAGAAGAAAAAATAAAACCAAGAACTGTTTTTTTCAAAGAGTAAACAAAATCAACAAAGCTCTGGCTAGACTCACCAAGAAGGAAAGAGAGAGGATCCCAATAAAATAAAAAATGAAAGAGTTCGAGAACAGTAACCAAGGGTTCCCTAAAATACTTGTGCTTACTCTAAACCATGTGTACTAAGACCACACTTTGGCGTGAGAGTTCCTAAACCTAGGGTTTTTTTTACTTGACTGCTCTGACCCTCCTTGCCTCCATGAAAAAAAACAGGCTATAAAATAATATATACCGTATGAATTTATTTTTATGAAAACACAAAACCTTTTATCACTGCCGAGTACATTAAATATTAAGTACTCAATAAAAATTGTAGCATAATAACTTAAGTGATTGAATGTACAGAAAAAATACTTTTATACACCAAAATGTTAACTAACAGTGCTTCTTTCTGTTACGGTACTACAGTTGATTCTTTTTTTTTTTTTTTTTCATATAGTGGGGAAAATATTGGGACAAAATTCCAAAACTTACCAGGGCAGAGAAGTTTCCATTGTAACAACAGATGATGAATGGTGGCTATCTTACTCTTGCTTCAGAACAGCATATTTAGTGCTGGAATGGGAGACCCATCATTGGATAGAGACCTCTTAGAAGATAAAAATTTCTTACCTTCAGAGAGCTTAGAGGCCTGTGACTGATTGGGAGGTTACACTTAGAGTTTTTGTGCTTCAATTGAATTCATTTTTAAAATAGGGATGATTGTAATATTCCAGCTTAAAAGGTTGTTATAGAAAGTACTTAAAAGCATTACTTGACATTTCAAAAATATAAATTTAGGTATGTCAAATAGTGTAAATTCTAAATTTGCTAGTTGTAAGTAAATGTTTATTGAGTGTTTTAAGTCAGGGACTGTGCTAAATTTAATTTTTAAAAAATTATTTATTTTCTGAGTGGGTACTACTTGTACTTGGTAAAACAATTTTGGAAGGTTATATAGTGAAAATCCTCTTGCACCCATCTCCCAGCCACCAGGCTCTCTTCAGTGTTTCCAGAGAGATTTTATGCATGTGTATGCATGTATGTATCTGCTTTTTAAAATCATAGATGATAGCACATTATACAGACTATACCTTTCTCTTCTTTTTTTCTCTTTCAATTTTAATTTTTTGATTTACAATGTTGTATTAATTTCTGCTGTACAGCATAGTGATTCAGTTATATATAAATACATATTTTTCATTACAGGTTACTGCAAGCCATTGAATATAGTTCTCTGTACCATACAGTAGGACCTTGTTTGTCTGTTCTGTACGTGGTAGTTTGTATCAGCCAATCCCAGACTCCCAATTTATCCCTCCCCCCTCCTTCCTCCCCTGGTAACCATAAGTTTGTTTTCTATGTCTTTGAGTCTGTCTCTGTTTCGTAAATAAGTTCTTTAGTATCATTTTTCTAGATTCCGCATAAAAGTGATAGCATGTGATATCTGTCTTTCTCTTACTTCACTTAGTATGATAATCTCTAGGTCCACGCATGTTGCTGCAAATGACATTGCTTCATTCCTTTTTACGGCTGAGTAGTGAACAAACTATACCTTTCTCTTCTCAAGTACAAAGTATTTCCTATTCTTGTCTCATCTAATACTCATAAAAGTAGTTAAGATAGGTATTCATATTATCTCCATTTTACAAATAAGGAAATGAAGACATCTCAATTTCTTGGTAACTTGTCCAGGGTCATACATATATGTTATTTAGATAGAATCTACTTCCTAGGTCTAGGGGCAGTTATTTTAGTACTACTTACTTATTTTTTTAACTTATAATTTGGGAACCATTTCATACTTACAGAGAAGTTGCAGGAGTAGAATAAAGAATTCTGTATACCTTTGTCCAGCATCTCCCTTCGGGTTTCTGTAGCTGTCTCCATAATGTTGGCAAAAGGAATCAAGCCTGGAGCACATGTCTAAAATTCTAGCTTCCTTCAATCTGAGGCCATTCTCCTTGACTTTTCTGACTTTGATGTTTTTGGAGATCACAGGCTGGTCATTTTGTAGAACCCCTCTCAATTTGTGATTTCCTAGGTGTCCTCACAATGAAACCTATATTATGCATCTTTGGCCAGAAGACACAGAAGTTATGTTGTGTTTTCCCCATTGCATCCTATCAAGGGGTACATACAGTGTTGATTCATCTCATTACTCCCACTAAAGGGAGAAATGGGAAAAGAACTGGGGAGAGGAGAAAGTAACTTACATTAGTTTGCTTTTCAGAGAGCCCTCTGGTCAGTAAATATCTTTTCCTTGCAGCATCCTGGAGGAGAAGAGGTTCTGCTGGAACTAGCTGGTGCAGATGCAACTGAAAGCTTTGAAGATGTAGGGCACTCCTCTGATGCCAGAGAAATGCTCAAGCAATACTATATTGGGGATGTGCATCCGGTAAGCTGAGCTCCGAGTGCTTGTAGAGAGGGAGGTACCCAGCAGCCCCAGAACATGACAGGGGAGTGAATTAGTAAAATGGAAATTCATTCAACCCAGCCAGCAGGCTAAATTTTCTCCAAAATCATCTAGCCTTCCTGTACTAAGGTAGAGCTTCTTGTTTGTAAATCAACACTGGTAGTATCTTTGAAGAGCTATGGGAATTGATTTTGGATTTTTTTCTTTTTGATGGATTGATTTTTTTGTAATGTGGTTAATGACATCTCTACCTAAAATAGTGCTTTGGTTGCTCTTGATAAAAGTTTCCAGGAAATTGCTATTACAGGGGAATTACTACTACCGGAATGAAGTGTCATGTCCCAAAGTGAGAAACAAACACATAGTAGGAGTTCATTGAATGTGTCTTAAAATGTTACTTGTTTTCTTCTTTAAACAGGATGACCTTAAGCCTGAAAGTGGTAGCAAGGTAAGTCTTTGGTTTCTCTTGTGTGTTTCAAGTGTTTATACATCTATTTACTCAAATAAAATTGCTTCTTTTGTTTTTAATTATTTTAACAAGAGAAAAGTTTACTTTTCCCACAGGTAAAAATCCTATTTTCAGGAATTTGGACTCAGTACCATCTCAGGAAAAAAGAATAGCTGAGTCTTGAACAGTAGGAACATTTTGTTCATTCGCTTTTTTAAACAATTGAAACTCTTAAAAGTGATGCCCCATATTGTTTTGGAAAATTTGGCTTGTAGGTTCAGTTACAGAAAAATATTTCTTTTCCTTACGTTAAGTAGTACAGGTGATAGTAATTGCTTCTGTATTGGATAGAGAATTGGAAAGTTAATTTTCTCTTACAAATCTTAGAATTTCTGAGTTGTAGATTGAAGCAGGTGACTCGAACAGGCCTTTCTGTCCCTGTTTCCCAACTGAATCCTTTTATCGTGCAGGCTCAGATCAGCCTACACACCGTTCCCATTCTCTCAGTGATGCAGCAAAAACAAAACGTTAAATATTTGAAAACCTTAATGTGTACTGCATAATGTACCAGGGAGAAAATATAAAAGCCTTACTGTTTCCCACAAGTTGGATGGTTCATTTCCCTCACTCTTTCACTTTTTTCTATTTTCCTTGACTCTTCTTCAGATGACTCTTACACCGCCCTCTAAAGGGACAGTGGTTTAGTTGCCACCTGGAACATCATGGGGGTGATGCTCCCTCCCCTTTTCCTCCTCCTAGCTTCCTGCTTCCCTTTCCTCATTGAGCTGGAATTACTGAACACGTGTGGCACAGCAATTAAGTTGGCCTAGACACAGGAATTCTTTCAACTCAAGAGATGGCTGCCCTGCTGTCCAGAGTGTTTGTGTCCATTAACTCCTGCCTTGCTACACTCTGCTAATCTGAACTGTTGAATTGTTTACGAAGAGGGGTGGAATGATACTTTAAGTGCTTTGTGAGTACTTAAAATTGGTTTGTTTGTCCTCCCCTCCTGACCCAGGCACTGTCTATTCTTGAATCTTCACTTGTGTAATTAAGGTAAAATTTGAAGTAAAGATGACTTTGTTTAGTATATTGAACATGTCTGGGAACCGTTGCTCTTAGAGCTCAACATTTGATTCAAGGGATATTCCCATTTGTCCAAGAGATGCACCCCATACCCAGGAGCTATCGCCCACTGCTGCACAGCACCGTGAGAGCACACTTTATGTTAAAACAATAAAAAACTTTTTTGGAGTTATAATGTATAGAAGTCTACAAATTGCTTCTTGTTGCTGTTTTTCTTCCTTGGTAGTACAGTACATAGTAAGGATCATTCTCAGGAATGGAGAGCAGCAGTGTTTTTCAAAATCTGTTCCTTGTACCACCTGTATTGGAATCCCTTGGCATGTTTTCTGAATTGTATATTTCCTAGGCTTCCACTACTGCTGATTCATGATTTCTGGAGGTGGGACTTGGGAATTTGCATTTAAAGTAACCCAGGTAGCCAAGAACCAGCCTTTTTGCTGAATGATATCCCCATCTTTTCATTTGAAAACTTAGGAAACTTGAGTTCTCTTCTGTGAAAAGCACTGTCTGCCTTCTGTAGGCCAAGGAATTAATTGGAGATGTCTCAGATAAAGTAAAACTGTTGAGTCTTGGCCTTTTTGTAAGAAATGTAGATAAAGAAACCCTTTCAGCTGGTGAGAT